GCCTCGGCCTCCCAGAGTGCTGGGATTACCGGCGTGAGCCACCGCGCCCGGCCTACTATAATAATTTTTTTAAAAACCCTCCAACAAAGTAAAGGCCAGTTGCAGATGGTTTCACTGGTGATTTTTACCAAACTTTAAGGAAGAATTAACACCAATGCTTCTGAAACTCTGCCAAAAAGTTAAAGGGGATTAAAGGCGAAAGCTTCGTAATTGATTCTGAGGCCAGCACCAACCGGCACGGCAAACCACAGTAATCGAATAAAAGGGGGAAGAACAGATGAGCTTCTCAGTTGACAAAAGGTGTTTTACAAAACCCAGCACCCTGTCATGGTAGAAACATCCACAAAATTAGGAATACGAGGGAACTTCCTCCACATGAAAAAGGGCCTTTACGAGCAACCCAGCATCACGCTCAGTGGTAGCAGCCTGCGAGCCCTTCCTCTGGGATGGGGCACGCGGCGAGGAGGTCCCCTCTCACCACCGCCAGTCAGCGCTGTCCTGGAAGTCCTAGCCAGAGCCATTAGACAGTAAAATAAGAGGCTTCCAAATTTGAAAGAAAGAAGTAAAACGACCTCTCCTCACAGATGACATCATCCTATAAATAGAAGCTAACGAAGAACCACCAGGAAGCTGCTAGAGTCAGTGAATTCAGTGAAGTTGCAGGGCAGACATCAACAAGACGAGCTGTTTCTACGCACCTGCCACTACCACATGATCCAGCAAATCCATTTCTGGGGATATGCACAAAAGAATTGAAAGCAGAGACTCAAACAGATACATTTCAGCTATGTTCATAGCAGCGTTACTCACAACAGCCCCGACGTGGAAACAACCCACGTGTCAGTCGACGGGTGAGCGGATGAGCAACATGTCTGTAGACTCGACGGAGCAGCTGTGACGGCGGATCAAATCCTGACATGCTACAACATGGATGAACCCAAGCCGGAGACAAAAGCACAGATGCTGTACAATTCTGCTTACGTGGCATCTGGAGTAGGCAAATCGGTAGACACAGCAGAACGGAGAGGCCAGGGGCTGAGGAAGCGCAGCTGGGCGGTTATTGTTCAGTGGCTACAGAGTTTCTCTTTGGGGTGATGAAATGGTTTGGAAAATAGATCGTGGTGAGGGTGCACAGCATTGTCATTGCACTTATGTTTTTTTAAGAGATAGGGTCTAGCTCTGTCACCAGGGTGGAGTATGTCATCACAGCTCACTGCAACCTCAATTTCCTGGGCTCAAGTGACCCTCCTGCCTCGGCCTCCCAAGTAGATGGGACTACAGGCGCACCACCACGCCTGGCTAATTTTTCTATTTTTTGTTTTGTAGAGACGGCGTCTCACTATGTTGCCCAGGCTGGTCTCAAACTCCCAGCCTCAAGTGACCCTCCTGCCTCAGCCTCCCTGAGTGCTGCAATTACAGGCATGAGCCACTGTGCCTGGCCTGTGAATGTACTTAATTCCACTGTATTCGACACTTGAAAGTAGTTCCATGGTAAATTTTATGTTATGTATTAATATAACGCACCACACAGACCAGCAAACCCTAACTACAGATACTGCAGGGGTTGGACCTGCTTGGGAACAGCGTCTGCCAGGGCAGTGGCTCACACCTGCCCCGGTTGCCGGCAGCTTTTAGGTCCGTGGGGGCAGAGTAGATGGTAGTGAGGGGCCAGGCGTGGCCCCCAAGTCTGTGAGCTGTGGAGGATGAGGGAGGGCTCTGGACCCACAGAGGTGCCATGGCTCAGGGCCACCAGGTTGGCTCGGTGGTCCGCAAGGGAGGGGTTTGGGCTCAGGTTCTCCTCACCTCCTGCAGTCCAGACCCCCAGGATTGCCCCCGCTGGCACCTCAAGCCCGCTGGGATGACGGGTGTGCTGCAGGCGTGCCATCTGCCCTGTGCTCAGTTCCTGCCCCGGGGCGTGGGCGGAGAGAGGCCCCTGAAGAGCCCCGTGTCAGCTGCAGGTGTGGGACTGGCCTAGGCCACCAGGCACAGGTGATGGTGGGCAGCGGGGAGACCTGGGCGCTGGGCGGGGCCTCCTGCGGAAGCTGCACCCCTCAGTGTGGCTGCCTCCCTAGTGCCAGCCCACCTGCCAGGGCCTTCCCCGTGCCATCCGAGGTCAGGGGCCACCTTCCCGAAGGTGCCTGGCCTGGCTCTGCGTGCGGTGGGGGGTGGAGTGACAAGCTCCAGCCCCACTTGAGGGATGTGGGCAGCGTGGCCACAGCCACCCTCAGCCCCCGGGCAGATCCTGGCCCAATATCCCTGATGGCCCCACGCAGGGCACCTTCCCAGGCCCTGGAACCCCTGGCTTCTGTCTGGAAGGGCCATGGAGGCGGGCAAGGGAGGAAGCAGCCTCCCCTGCAGGCCCCGCTGCCTCGGAACCCACCTCCTGGAGCTCAGGCCCCCCCTGTGGCATAGCCAGGCATGCACGGCGGTGGGGCTTTCACCGCAGCGTCTGGAAGCCGGGTGTGTTGGGAGCCGGCCGGCCAGGCTCTTGGCCCAGGTGCCCTGAAGCAGGGGCACTGGGGGCACCCGCCGTTGGGGAAGGTCCTTGAGTACAGCCCCTCTGCTGGACACTGGCCAGGCTGGAGCCATGGTGTGACCCTGGGTGACCACAAGGCGACTACTGTGCTACTACGACATGGGCACAGGGCTGCCACTGTGCCGGGAGCCGCAGGCAGTCTTGGGCAGCGGGAGGGTGGACTGTGTGGCCAGTCCTCCGCACTCAGCCCCACACGGGATGGCTGGGCCAGAGGTCAGGAGTCACCCTGGCCGGAGCCAGTCTTGGGAGTGGGGACAGGGTGACTCCCTTTCCTTCTGCAGGCTGAGGCTGGGCCACCCACCCCAAACTGTTCTGAGCCTGGCCCGCGGCCCACAGCCCCAGCAGGTCTGGCCAGACTGGACAGTTACAGCCGCACCCATAGCCAAGGTGGCCCCTCATCAGGCACCTTCCATCCTCTGCATGCTCCCTGGAGAGGAGAGGCCCGCAGTCCCCCTGCCCCTCGGTCCTGAAGGCCACGTGGGCACAGTAGGCCCCATCAGCAGAGTGGGTGAGGACTCCCTGGCTCTTAGGAGTGAACGGCCACACACCCCCACCCTGCCCAAACCTGCAGGATCACCCCACACTCCGGCCTGCTCCGAGGCCTTCGGTCATCCGCCTGCCCAGCCCCTGCTGTCGCCTGGACAAGCCCCGTGTCCTTTCTCCGGGCACTGTCACTCCACGTGGGACCCCTGCCACCCCATCTCCCTATCCCCGCCCCTGCCTGGGAGCCTGGGGCCTTGTCCTCATGGGGCTGGCAGTGCAGCGGGACACAGACCAGGGCCGAGAGGGCCTGGGCAGTAGGGCAGGTGACGCGCCCCAGCCCAGCGCCGGCCCCACAGGGGCTGCAGCCGAAAGTTGGAGGACAAGCTGGCGCTGAGGCCCTGGAGACCACCCAGGATCTGCAGCCCCAGGGGACCTCACCCCCTCACAGACACCCCTCCCGGGACCCTCCTGCCTCTCTGGAGGACAGGTGTCCTCCCAGGGCCAGGCCTCAGCCTGCTCATGCGTCCCCACGGCGACCGTCTCCGTGGGACACAGCAGGTGCCCAGGAACCTTCGCCGGCCCTGCCTGGGGCTCCAGCCACGGTCCTGACGAGCGGACAGCCCCGCCCAGGCTGCCACGTGAGGCAGCCCCCAACTGTCATGTGACCCTGCTCACATGACTGCCGTGCCTGCCCGGCAAACCCAGGCATGAGCCCCCGGCACCGGGGACCCGCGGCCCGGCCGGCCCCTTCCTGGGCCCCAGTCCTGCTGCTGGCGCTCGGGCTGCACAGCCTCCAGGCCGGGGGTGAGTGTGGATGTGGCGGCCCCTCCTCCCTGACCCCTCTGAGGCTCTGTGGCACCGTCACGCTCACCCTGCCCTCCCAGCCCGCAGAGTCACAGACCCCAACTTCCGGGAGAGCTATTTTGAGCAGCTTCTGGACCATTTCAACTTCGAGAGGTTCGGCAACAAGACCTTCCCCCAGCGGTTCCTGGTGTCAGGTGAGGTCCTCCTGCCCTGCCTGCAGCCCCGATTCGCCCAGCCCCAGCCTCACCAGCGCCCGCCTGCTGCCGCCCCACAGACGCGTTCTGGGACAGGACCGAGGGGCCCATCTTCTTCTACACGGGGAACGAGGGGGACGTGTGGTCCTTCGCCAACAACTCGGGCTTCATCTCGGAGCTGGCGGCCCAGCAGCGGGCCCTGCTGGTCTTCGCAGAGCATGTGGGTAGCGGTTCCTGACGGCCACCCTGGGCAGGCGGGCAGGTGGCTGGGGGCGGCGGGTCAGCGGTCCCTGCTGTGTCCGCCCACAGCGGTACTACGGGAAGTCGCTCCCATTCGGCGTGCAGTCCACACGCCGCGGGTACACAGAGCTGCTGACGGTGGAGCAGGCCCTGGCTGACTTTGCGGTGCTGCTCCAGGCGCTGCGCCAGGACCTTGGGGCCCAGGACACCCCTGCCATCGCCTTCGGGGGGAGGTGGGTTCCGTGCGGCAGGGCCTGTGCTGCCGTCCAGGCCAGGGGTTGTCAGGCCATACCCGCCCCCGACTCCTCGCTTCCCCATGTCCCACTGCCCCCCCAGTGCACCTGGGTGCAGCCACCCAGCCTCCTGAACCCAACACCCCCGCCCAGCGCCCCTCCGCCCCACTGGCTCCGGTGCCCTTTGACCCCCACCTCCCTTCCTTTTCCTGATGCCTGTTCCCATGGGAAGCCCACCCGGCCCTCCCTCAGAGCCGGCCCCACTGGCTGGGAAGTGCTGGGCTCACTAGTGGGGACACCCTGCCCACCTCGGCCTCAGCTGTGTCCCCGGGGCGGGGCACCCACCAGGTGCCCCTCCCAGTGACGGCTGCACCTGGCAGGGCCCAGGGTAGAATCTGGGGCTCTTAGAAGTTTTGGGTCCTTCTCACACCTGTGGGCCTCTGAGGAGGGAGAGAGGAGGTAGAAGGTACGGAGAGATACGGGGGGCCCAGCCCTAAGCCTGTGCCCCGCACCCAGTTATGGAGGGATGCTCAGCGCCTACATGCGGATGAAGTACCCCCACCTGGTGGCGGGGGCGCTGGCGGCCAGCGCACCTGTTGTAGCTGTTGCAGGTCTGGGAGACTCTGGCCAATTCTTCCGGGACGTCACGGAGGTGAGTGAGGGTCCGGGGTCTCCCCGGCCGACCTGGGAGCTGCGGCTGCACGAGCACAGTCTCTTCCCCAGGACTTTGCCAGCCAGAGTCCCAAATGTGCCCAGGGTGTGCGGGACGCCTTCCGGCAGATCAAGGACCTATTCCTGCAGGGAGGTGAGCACCCCCGGCCGAGCCGCCCCTGCCCCGCACACCCGCAGCCTCTGGAGCCTGGTCTCTGCCCTTCCTGCAGCCTATGACGCAGTCAGCCGGGAGTTCGGCACCTGCCAGCCACTCTCGGGCCCCGAGGACCAGACCCAGCTCTTTGTGTTTGCCCGGAACGCCTTCACCGTGCTGGCCATGATGGACTACCCGTACCCCACCGACTTCTTGGGGCCTCTTCCTGCCAACCCTGTCAGGGTGCGGCGCCTCCTCCCGGGTGTGGGGAGAGGCTGGCTGAAACCTGGGTGGGGCAGCGTCCCGAGGGCAGGGAAGGGCCCAGCTCCGGCCCCAGGATGAGGGTCCCGGGAAGGTGGAGCCAGGCGAGGGGCCCTACTGAGGCGCCTGTGCCCCTCCACCCAGGTGGGCTGTGACCGGCTGCTGAGCGAGGCCCAGAGGATTTCGGGGCTGCGGGCTCTGGCAGGTGCGTGTTTCCCTCAGCCCCAGACCGGGCGAGCGTGGAGACCCCAGCACTGGCGCAGGGCCTGGTGGGCCAAGTCTGCAGCCCTGGCCTGGGGGCGCCGCCTCCTGTCCCAGCCCGGCCGTGGGCCGTGTGAAGTGGGAGCGTGGCCATCCAGCAGCCCCGGGGAGGCAGTGGCCATGCTGAGGACCCCTCCCAGCCTCGCTGGGGGCCAGGCCTGGCCTGGGTGTGCCGCTCAGCCGGGCCTTTAGTACGGAGGGGCCCAGCCGTGCTCACCCCTCGGGCTGCCCTCACCCCAGACCCCTAGCAGGTGGCCCAGGGGGCTTTCCTCACTGGGACTCATGGGATCCAGAGCCCCGGCCCACCTGCAAGACCCTTCCCGGGGGAGACGCTGGTGGCCCGAGCATGCAGGGCCTGTGCCCGGCTTCCCAGCCCCAGCACCCCTCCTCCCCAGGACTGGTCTACAACGCCTCGGGCACGGAGCGCTGTTTTGACATCTACCAGCTGTACCGCAGCTGTGCTGACCCCACGGGCTGCGGCACCGGCCCCAACGCCAAGGCCTGGGACTACCAGGTGTGAGGTGTGGGCAGCCTGGGACTACCAGGTGTGGGGTGTGGGGTGTGGGCACAGGCCCCTGCTTGACAGCGGCCGGGGCACCCACAGGCCTGCACTGAGATCAACCTGACCTTCGCCAGCAACAACGCGACCGACATGTTCCCCGTCCTCCCGTTCACCGAGGAACTCCGCCAGCAGTACTGCCTGGACACGTGGGGCGTGTGGCCACGGCGGGACTGGCTGCAGACCAGCTTCTGGGGGGGCGGTGAGGCCGGGCGGGGTGGGGTGGGGGCAGCGCCTGCCCTCGCAGCCCCGCGCCCGGCTCACCGAGCCTCGCCGTGTCCCTTGCAGACCTCAGAGCTGCCAGCAACATCATCTTTTCCAACGGTGACCTGGACCCCTGGGCAGGGGGCGGGGTGAGTCCTGGCCTGGTGGCCTCTGACCCCACGGGCGTCCTGCTGCTCTGAGCCCTGCCCCCGGCTGCGCTGCAGCTGTGGCCCCTTAGTCTTCCCGGGTGACCCCGCTCAGGGATCTCTGAGACGCGCTCTGCCGCTGTGCTCGGGCCGTTTCCCCCGGCGCTTCCGTTTTTGGTTCTTTCGCGATTGTTTGGTGTGGACTGCACCGGGCTCGCTCCGCTTCCCTCTCCTTTGGCCGGAGGGGGCCATTCGAGGCCGCGCGCTCGCCCCGAGTGCGCGCCTGACCCGAGGTCCCTCGGCTGACCCCAGATTCGGAGGAACGTGAGCGCCTCGGTGGTCGCCGTCACCATCCGCGGGGGAGCGCATCACCTGGACCTCAGGTGCGGGGCGCGGACGGGCGGGCTCGCGGGGCCGGGGCTGCCTGGGGCTGACGGCCTGCCTGCCCCTCAGAGCGTCGCATCCGGAAGACCCGCCCTCCGTGCGGGAGGCGCGACAGCTGGAGGCCGCCCTCATCGGCGAGTGGGTGAAGGCTGCGCGGCGTGAGCAGCGGGCGGCCTGGCGCGCGGGGCCCAGAGGCTGAGACCGGAGGACCGGGAGGGAGCGCCTCGGGTTCCCTGTGGGGTGAGGCGCCCTCCGTCCGGGCGGTCCGCTGCATCCCGAGGCCGGGCCCACGGTGGCCGCCCAGCGCCGGGGCTTTGCCTGCGCGAGGGGCTGGCGCAAAGGGGAGGGGCTGAATAAAGTCCGCTGGCCGGTTCCGTGCGTCCTGTCCAGTCGTCTGTGGGGCCACAGGCAGAGGCAAGAGCAGGTGCTGCCCTGGGCGAGCCCCACGTTCCTGCCGCTCTCGGTCGGCCGCAGGGGCAACGGCAGGGAAGCCGGCTCTTCCCAAGGACCAGCCTCCCCTCCCGGGTGGTCCTCTCAGTGTGGCCACACGGCCGTGGTGGCTCACTTCTCGGGCGTCCTTTTCAGAGTTGCAGCCTCTGCCCAGCGTCCCCTGCAGGGGAGGCCCCAAGGGGGGCACATGGGTTTGGGGCTGGGGCGAACTGGAGAAATGAGCCTGCACAGCTCTCCCGGCCCTGCTGCAGCCCCGGGAGGGCAGCGCTGATCCCGGGCAAGGAGCTGGCGGGAGCACACGGCCCAGCCCAGCCCTTCATCTGGGGCAGGTGCTCAGCACCCCTTTCCCAGGCACGGATGTGCAGGGCTGGAAGCTGGCTTGGGGTCGTACCTCAGAAGGGGAAGTCCCCCAGGGCGCCTGCTATCCCCAGCGGGGCACAGGGTGACAGCCTTGGGGTACTCTTAGTGTGAGACGGGCAGGGAACAAGCCCAAGAGCCCAGGCCCTCCCTGCACTTGGGAGCCGGGGCCTCTGCGGGGGGTTGCAGAGGCAGCAGCCCTGGGCCCAGGCGTGCAGGTGGCCCTGCCCCATGTGCCGCCAGCTCTGGCTTCCCAGAGAAGGGGCATCTTCCAGAAATGATGGACTCTTCATGCTTAACACAGGAGGTTAAGAGGTCACCTGGCTGTGGGTAAGAGAGGGCACCCCAGCCAAGGCCGAGGGTCAGCCCCACAACAGGGACACTGCAGTTGACGCCAATGGCGAAAGATGGCGAGGACAGCTCTGCTGTCCAGCTCCAGGGCTCAGGCACCAGGCGCAGACACCTCCCACCAAGGAGAGTGGGCACTGACCCCGCCAGGCTGCCAGATGCTGCCCAGACTCGACTCGAGGGCCCACTGTGTCGCCCACTGGGGCTGACTACACTGGCTTGTCCCCCTGAGCCTCTCTCTGGCCACCAGCAGGGGACGCATCAGCTCTGACCTCGAGGAGCTGAATTTTGAGGTGTGACCCGAAGAACTGCTTCTCCCCTAACCCAGTGTTCCCCCAGACTTTGCAGTCACGGAGCCCTCACACACGGGACACGTCACTGTTAGCGCAAATCGACTTTTATCTTCACTGAGAAGACCCATCTGTCCAAGTGGGCCGGGAGCAGCAGGAATTCGCCCCCTTGCCCCTCCGAGCTCCCTCCAGGGCGCCTGGAGGATCCCTGAGTCCGGCGTGTAAACACAAGAGCCAGGCCTGGCATCAGGGCCCCTTGAGACCCGTGCGTGGGACATTCAAGGTTCCAGGAACCCAAGCAGAGCAGATCTGGGCTGTACACTGGGTTCCTCTTCCTCTCTCTGAACACAACTCAAGCTCCGGGGTCCTGAGCGGCCCCCCACGGGGGACCAGAAGCCGCAGGACCACTGTGAAGTTGGCCAGTAGGACGTTCAGGTTTCAGGAATTATGAGCCATGATTGCAGTTTTCTCAAAGAGGGTGGCAGAAGGCTCCTGGTGCACTGGCCCACCCTGAGTCACACGCCCGATTCTATTCTTACGTGTTCTGATGAGAAGCAGAGTCAAGGAGCCCAGAGCCAGGCAGGAGCACGTGACGTTCAGCAGCTGCCCAGTACCACGTGGGCCCTTTGAAGACGTCTCAGACCCGAGAAGGCACCTCTGCCCACCTAGCAGTCCCCACCGGGAGCCAGCCCCACTAGGCGGGGGTCCAGATGGGCAGGGGATGGGCCTCGGTGTTGAACACGTACGTGTCCAGGCTGAGGAGGTCTGGGTCGTCGGAGAAGAGCAGGTACAGGTACTTGAGCGTCTCCCCCAGGAAGAAGCTCTCCATCTTGTCCCTGGGCTCCGGCTTTTGGGGATCCCGAACGTTGTTGATGGAGGAATAGCCGCCCGAGGGCACCTGCCAAGGCCAAGGCCGCGTCACGCGGGCCAGGGGCACCCTACTCCCACACCCAGCATCAGCCTGTGGGAAGAGCTGACAGCCAGAGGCGCCAACCCCAGAGTCCTTGCCCACACCAAACACATGTGGCCCCAGGGAGGCTCAGGGCAGAGAGCACACAAGGTCGACTGTAGTTCCAGAGACTCCCCTGGAAATGCCAACAACCCTCGAGTGCCCAGGACAGAAACTGCCTCCCCCAGAACCTCAGCTGAGGGGGGCCTTGGCAGGGCTCTGAGAGCCACGCGGTGGGAACCCCGGGCCCAGTCCTGCACAGCACAGGGCACAAGGCCAACGCAGATGGCAGGAAGCTGAGGCAGTGGAGGTCTCAGCCACGGTGACCGTAACACACAGGCTGCTCCAGCACAGTGGGCACTGGCTCGGAGGGCGTGACTCTGAGGGAGCAGAGTGGCGGGCAGCACCCCAGCCACAGGTGCACGTGCCTTGTAAATGGGGGAGGGACCCTCCCCAGGGAGGCCAGCTGCTCTGAGCACTCTGGGTCCCACATGCCACAGCAGGTGTTGGCCAGGCCGCTCGAGCTGGGATGTGGCCACCTCGAGGCCACAGCAAGCCTGCCCCTCCCCCACCTGCGCCACAGCCAGCCAGAGCCTTGCGGCAGCCTCACCCTGGTGGCCCACCACCAGGTGGCCGGTGACCACTGGGGATGCAGACCCTGGCGCTCACCCGAGTGAACCTGCTGAAGCTCTGCAGGATCTCCCAGCCCCAGTCCTGGTACTTGCGGTCCCCCGTGAGTCGGTACAGGTAGAACAGGCTTTCCACCGTCTCGGGCCGCAGCAGGTTGTGCCTGTCGGCCGGCTGGGGGCACAGGAGAGCTCAGGGCCAGGCCAGCCCTGCCGGTGCCCTCCCCACGGCTGGCCCTCAGCCCGGGCCCAGTCCCACCTTGACCTCAATGTCCCGATGGCCCGGCTGGGAGTAAAGGTTGAAGTGCACGATCTCAGGACTTAGCCCCGTCTCCATCTGACGGTTCATCTGGTAACACGTCTCCATGAGCTCCCGCGCCAGCTGCATGTGGTCGGCGGGAAGGCCGTGGTGGACGCCCAGAGCCAGCGTCCCTGGCAGGAAGCACACCAGATGGTCCTAGAATCAGAGGGTCCCCTCAGCCTGATCCTAGGCCCGCACCCTCGGCCTGCAGCCGCACAGGTGGCCAGTGCTGGGCCCAGTGCCATCGTAGCCTCTGGCATCCCTAGGAGGAATGCCTGCCTGAGTGACACCACTGTGGCCACACCAGTAGGAGCACAAGAGGCAGCTTGACTACAGCCAAGCACTTCCTGCTCCTGGGGGGTGAGGGGCAGGGGAGAAGCTGGGAGGGCAGGCTCCGCGGGGAAGCCACGCGGCACACTTCGAGCACCTGCTGCCTGTCGGGCACCACGGAGGGCTGCGGAGGGAGCTGCACCCCAGGCCTCAACTGGCTGAGCCGTCATGGGGCCGGGCCAGGCAGCAAGGTCACCTGTAGTCTCAGCTCACACGCCTCGGCCAGCATCTCACTGTTCCTTCCAACATCCAGACTCAGGAACCTTAGAAGCTACAGAAAGAGGGGCGGCCTCCCGAGGGCCCCGTGTACCCCACGCACACACTCACCATCTTGGTGCTAAAGCGGCCGTGGGCAAGTTCCCCCACGAAGATGAGCTTACTGGGTTCGGATCGCTGCAGCAGGTGTGTTTTTATCCCCTCGATGGCCTCAATGTAGTCTTCCAGTAACCTGTGGAAACCAGCAGTCAGCTTACTCCAGCCTCGGCAGGTGCGCTGGCCTCCTGCCAGGGTCCCGGGAACGGGCGTGTTCTGAGCTGGGATCTGCACACAAGCACAGCAGGCCTGGACCCTCCTGCACAGAAGACGCCGCCACCACAGCCCAGCCAACGACAACTCAGGCCTTGGGCTGGGCGCTGGCCCTGGACCTCCACGGAGGCCACGAGAAGTGCATCCGTCTGGCAGGAAAAGCCTAGACCATGCCTGGCACGGCTGCCGTTTCCCAACAAAGACCTGGGCTGAGCAGAACTTCGGGGAGGCTACACCAAAGGCAGCAGAAACAGGCCTCACTGTGTCTCCTTCTTCCCGCCCTGGATCCACTGCTTCAGCAGGTACTCGTAGTAGCTGTCGGCCCGGGCACCCAAGGTGAACACGCCCAGGTGGGTGAAGAGGCCGCTGTGGGTGTTGATGAACATGGGCACCAGCCCGTCCTTCTTCCCAGAGAGGGAGTGGATGTGCTTCGTCACCTTCTCCACAGCCTCCTGCAGCAGAAAGGGACGATGCGTTTGCCGTGGAGCTGCAGAGGGGGCTGCGAGCGCTGCCCCTCCCTCCCCCACTGTCCATTGCCAGCAGAGGACAGGACTCGGCTCCTGGCCCGACCGCACCCAGCAGCCCCCACTGTGCAGCCACCAGACACACACACCAGGACGTCACTGGCCATGATGGGCTGGCTGTCCCAATAGGCCCTGACAACAGAGCTGACCTGTCTTCTGTCATTTGATGGGGATGGCATCTGATGACCACAGCCATTGTCCTCATGGCAACCTGCCTGGCCATCGGCTACCGCTCCTGGGGGGACAGCAGGCACCTCTGCCTTCTGAGCCCAGCGCTGCTCCTGCACCTGTACCCTCCTGGAGAACTCCTAAGCACCCTCCAAGTCACAACCTCAGCTCCCTGAGCCCACCTGCTGGGCTGGGCAGCCTGTGTCCCAGGCACCCACAGCTCCAACACGCTACCAGATGGACTGCTCAGGACCCCGCATGGCCCAGGCTTTCCTGGTCTCTACCCAACACGCCCAAACCCACGGTAAGTCCCTCTTTGTATGTGCAGCAACCAGAGGCCCTGGGACCTGTGGACGTTCTATGTGCGTACGCTGGAAATGCCCTCTGACGTCTGTGTGGGGCCTCACATGGACCAGGTGTGCTTCACTTCTCACCACAAGTGCCCTGGTCTCTCTGGAGCGGACGTCCAGTTCACAGTAAGAACAGAGACTCTAACATGAGACCAAGGACATAAGCGACAGCAAACAGACCAGTTACACTTCAGGAAAACAACATTCTATGCATCAAAATATACTATTAACAGAGTAAAAAGACAACCCAGAATGGGAGAAAATATTGGCAAGTCACACATCTGATAAGGGGTTAATACACAGAATATGGAACTCCTACAGCTCAACAAGAAGACAAACAACTCAATTAAAAAGCAAGCAAAGGCCGGGCGCGGTGGCTCATGCCTGTAATCCCAGCACTCTGGGAGGCTGAGGTGGGCGGATGGCTTCAGCCCAGGAGTCGGAGGCTGCAGTGAGCTGTGATGACGCCACTGCACTCCAGGCTGGGTGACAGAGCGAGGCCCTGTCTCCCTGTCCCCAAAAAAAAAAAAAAAAAAAAAGCAAAAAAAACCCAAACAAAACAACAAGAAAAAGGCAGAGAACCTGATTAGACATTTCTCCAAAGACACACAAACAGCGGCCAGTAAGCACGTGAAACCACACTGAGCATCACGAATCATTAGGAAATGCAAATCAAAACCACCATGGGATATCACCATGTATCGCACCGCTGCTATCCAAAAAGCAGGAAAGAACACGCGCTGTGAGGCTGTGCGAAACTGCGCCCTGCACACTGCCGGCGGGAAGGTGAAACGGCGCAGCCACTGTGGAGCACAGCGTGCTGCCTTCTCAAAACGGACACGCACGTGACCCAGCAATTCTACTCTGGGCACGGACACAAGAGAATCAAAAGCAGAGTCTCACATCGATGTCTGTACACTCGTGTTCACAGCGGCACCACTCACAACAGCCAAGACGTGCAGCAACCCAAACGTCCACCCACGGAGCGGGGGTCTGGCCGTGCAGTGGGGCGTCAGCCTCAGGAAGGAGATCCTGACACACACTACGCCACATGTGAAGCTGGAGGACGCTACGATCAGTGAAATAAGCCAAAGAACAAACGTGTGATTCCGTTTATGCGAGTACCTGGCATGGTGGAATTCAGAGAAAGTAGAATGGTGTTGGCCAGGGGCTGGAGGGGAGAGGAAATGGGGAGTGATTATTTAATGGGGGCAGTTTCAATTTTAAGATGAAGGATTCTGGAGACAGATGGCGGTGACGGTCGCACAACAGTGGGACTCTGCCGAATGCCACTGAACTGTGCGCTTCAAGTTTTTTTTCTTTTTTAGAGATGGGGTCTTGCTCTGTCACCCAGGCTAGGGTGCAGCTCGCCATCATAGCTCACTACAACCTCAACTCCTGGGCTCAAGTGATCCTGCTGCCTCCCAAGTGGTGGGACTACAGGCGCATGCCACCACACCCAGCTAATTTTTTTATTTTTTGTAGAGACACGGTCTCACTATGTTGCCCAGGCTGGTCTCAAACTCCTAGCCTCAAGCAATCCTTGGCCTCCCAAAGTGCTGGGATGACAGGCATGGGCCAACGTGTCCAGTTAACACAGGCTTGTGCCTGCAATCCCAGCGCTTTGAGAGGCTGAGGCAGGAGAATCGCTTGAGGCCAGGACTTGGAGGTTGCAATGAGCTATGATATTGCCTTTATACTTTGGCCCAGGCAACAGAGCAAGACCCTGTCTGAAAACAAAAAAAGTTTCTAAAACAATGGTTGGTAAGGGACTTTCAGATTTGACCATTCCCTTCATGTTCATTTGATTAAGAAACATTGATACTGAAAAGAAAACAAAATAAAAACAAATAAACAGGAACTCTGGGGCAGGGTGGCTGAGTTTGTATTCCCAAACTGCCTCTCAAATCTTTGATCTTGAGTCACAAATCTTCTTGGTGCCTCAGTTTCCCCAAGTGTCAAAGAGGAATAGCAGAAGTATCATTGTCGCTTGGATGAAATGAGTGCCAGTCGGGGCATCAGGTTGAGCTGCCGATTCCTGCTCAGGGCAGTGTCCTGGTCACACACTAGCTGAGTTCGGGGGTGGCCAGGGTCCCAGGCACATACGGTAGAATTTGGGCGCCCAAGCGGCCTTTCCTGGGCAGGGAGGCACACTGCCGAGGCTCTGAAGGACGGGCGGCAGCGGCTCTCAGGGCACTCTGACACGCGCCTGGGCAGGCAGAGCCCGTGTGCCGCCTCAGGTCTGAATTTCGGTGCTCGTGGTACCAGCTCCAGGAAGACTGTGCGGCAGAGCCCACACGCAGCACCTGTGCACAGTGCTGCTCCTGGCAGTTCCTATGGGACGGGCTCCCTCAGGAAGGACATTGGGGCAGCAGCAATTGACACGGACGGTGTGGATGGCGGAGACTTCCCCAGCACAGAGCGGTCCACGTCAGCTCTAGTGCCTCAACACACCAGTCACCATGCAGAGCGCTGCACGGCAAGGCTGCCACGCACTGACATGCCGAGTGGAAACCGAGTGAGCCGCGCACATGCTGCCAGCAGTGCACGCGGGGGAGGTGAGGACACGTCTGCAACAGGCAGGAGCAAACAGATGGGCGGGATGGGGTGGGATTAATTCTCCAGTCGGTGCCTTTCTGCCTGAGGCATTCAAGCCTCAGCATCACTCAGCAACAAGGACACAAGATTCTTTAGGAAAAGCAAGAAAACAAAACAGACAGGGGTCTCAGAGCCATGACTAAGTCCAAACAAAACTGCACTTACTGTAATTACTAAAATCGGAAGTGAAAGTGAGGACATTACTCCGAATACTAATTCTACAGACACTAATAGGACTATGAGGAAATACTACGAACAACTCCGTGCCAACAAATTGGCTAATCTAGATGAAACAGACAATTCACAAACCCTACCAAGATTAAATCGTGAAGAAATAGAAGAAATAATAACAATCCTTCCCAAACTTTTCAAAAAAAATTGAAGAGGAGAAAACACCTCCCAACTCATTCTAAGAGGCTGGCACTACCCTGGTCCCAAAGCCAAAGATACCACAAGAGTGACAACTACAGACCAATATGCCTTACGGACACTGACGCAAAAGTGCTCAACCAAACGCTGGCAGAGTCCAGCAGCACTAACAGGACTCACACGAAGACCGAGTGGGTGTGTTCTCAGAATGCAAGGGTGTTCCGCACATGAAAGTCAATCAGCGTGGACACGTTAACAGAATGAAGGAAAAAACACATGATCATCTCAACTGATAAATAAAATCTGACAAAAATGAACTCCCTTTGATGATAAAAGCACTCAAAAAGCTAGGAATTAAAGGGAACTACCTCAACATAATAAAAGCCATATAGGAAGAAAACAGCAAATATCATAAAGAATAAAATACTTAGGAATTAACCATAGTGTGTAATTTGTACAGTGAACACTACAGAATGTTGCTTAAAAAAATTAAAGACATAACTAAATGGAAACACATCTCATTTCACAGAATGGAAGACTTAACATTGTTAAGCTATCTACAGAGTCAATGCAAGCACTATCACAATCCCAGTGACAGTTTTTGCAGAATAGGAAAGTCCATCCTAAAATTCCTATGGAATTTCAAGGAACACCGAATAACCAAGACAATCTTGAAGAGGATGAACAAAGTTGAAGGATTCACATTTCCTGATTTCAAAACTTACTTAAAGCTACAGTAATTAAAAGAGCGTGGTACTGGCAGAAAAATAGAGATATAGACCAACAGAACAAATAGAGAGCCAAGAAAGAAGCCCTTGCATATATGGTAAAATATTTTTAACAAAAGTGCCAAAACATTCAAAAGGGAAAAGCAAATCTTTTCAGGCCAGGCGCGGTGGCTCACGCCTGTAATCCTAGCACTCTGGGAGGCCGAGGCGGGCGGATTGTTTGAGCTCAGGAGTTCGAGACCAGCCTCAGCAA